TGAACTTGTTGGAGCAAGGGATGGATGGCAACAAGTGATAGGGAACGGAAATGTGGCGGGAAGGGGCTAACGGGCGAGGGTGAACGGGAGGGATATAGGGTGATAGGGAGCTGGGCGGTGCACGATCTCGCTGCTCACAGCAGTGCTGGGTGACAATGATGGTGCATCGATGGCTGACCTCGAAAGAAGAAGCTACGGATGGCTTAGCCCTGTCAAAGGAAAGCCCCCCATGATAGTTCCATGGCGCCCTTGTTCGGGCCGCAGTTCCTTTTGTAAGCAAACGTGACTTAAAGCACCTTAGATACTCAAGAAGAACTTCAAGAACCATAACGCTGTATCAATAGCTCTTGGCACTTCCGCCATGGGCAGATTACGTCAATCGCCCGCTATGCCACATAAGCAAAAATGAAGCAACGGCCTTCATGATAACTTGACCTGTTGTGTGCAAGGGCTTGCACTTAGGGATCTTGCTTCCGGGGGGGACGTAACCAGGTGCAGAGGAACGGAGGTGAACGTGATAATGCAGTGACATACAGCTATAATATAAAAGTTTAACAGGCTAACTGTCGACAAAGTGAGTTCGCCGAACTGCACCTTACCAACACACTTGGATTTGCAGCTGTTGCGCAGCTTTACCGGACGCCGTACAACTTAGCTGGCCTCTGACAAAAGGCACCTCCCATAGCACTTCCAGCTCCATTAGCAAATGTGCACAACGTCCGATATTTGATCACAGGCTTTCACCCAACGTTTGAGCCCTTCTTTTCGGCCTGTTCCAGCTCTGGTGCGTCCGTAAAAGCTGCTAGCTTCCTACATATGACCAGCAAATGAGGAAGCCTGAACAGCTGCGCGGCGCCCTGAGAAGCTGTTGTGGACCCTGCAAACGTTTGCAAGGTACTGTTCGTTGCAAAACCTTCATGCTGTAGCCGCCGCACTTCAGTTCCATTGCTCTAATTTATTACGCGGTTATATCAAGCATTTATTTATTGAACCCCTGCTGACGTTGCTTCAGGCACAGCGTCGCCGCTTCATGGACATGGACTTGCCTGACTCATCTGTGAGGGCAAGGTGCGACTTGCGGCAACTCATTTTTTGAGGTGAGATGCTTGATTCTCGAGCTTGTGTATGGATCTTTGAAACATAAGGGGCTTTGTCGACGGGCTTTCGACGGGCATGTGTTTGTGCAGCGCTCTGCTGCAAGAATATGGGCGTATGCGGCGTTTGAGCGTAATCCCGACAGTTGTGCTTTAGCTGTGTAAGGAGCCTACGAAGGCTGAAAGCTAGGCGGTCTGGCAGGAAAGTACACGTCGTTAGGCGAGACATGACCACTTCGTCCGATGTCCGTGACCTTCCTCGCGACAGAGACGACTGCTCATCGGAGTTGCCCAAGACCTTCCAGATCGACCGCATTCCACCTGGCAACGAGAATCTCTGCGTACACCACATTTCAACTCTCCAAGACCCCAGTGCGATGTTGCGTCGGCGTGAAGCAAGGGCCCCCATTGTCAACGCTTCTAATCAACGCAGTCAAGCTCACATCGTCTTCCGCTGCTGGTGAGTGACGCCGGATGCACGGTCGCCCGTACATGTCGTACGTTAGTTAGAACGCCCCTAGATTTCCGGCCGTGAGGCCGTTACACGTCGTATCAAGGTCGGCCATCGTTCTTGGATTCTATGGGTGAAGGCGCGTTGCAAATGGATAGACGAGTTGGTGACGGAGGGGGATTTCGGTATGAAATTGTTGTACCTTGGTAAGGTGCGGCGTGTTGGGAGTACGGCATGAAGGTCTTTCCCCGTATGTTCACTGCGTGGGTGCCACTTTGTGTCCGTTCGTGATGTAGTGATGTCGTACATACGTTCGGAGCAAAGTTTCTTGCTGTGGGTGTTTCGTGGCGTGGTGTTTTTCTCCTGTCGTGCCGGCAAGCAGCAACAGCGACAACGACAGCAAAAGCACAAAGGCAGCAAACTGCAAAGATAAGGTCAGCAAACTCAGATAGAAGCTGCAAAGCCGGCCGATGGTTATTGTTGCGGTGTTCAGTGGCTTGTATTTGTGCGCAATTGTATGTATGTATGTTTGTATGTAGGTGTTCAAATGTGGGTGAGAATGTGCTCTCGCGCGCGCGTGTGTGTGTGTGTGTGTGTGTGTGTGTGTGTGTGTGTGTGTGTGTGTGTGTGTGTGTGTGTGTGTGTGTGTGCACGCGCACGCATGTATACGTATGTGTGGGGATGCTACTGTTTTAATTGTGATGGAGAATTCGAAACTGCCCGCGATCCGCCTGTGTGCTTATTAGTATGTTTCTGCATTTT